AAAAATCACTGACCACAGTGGATGCTTAAATGGAGCGTCAAAGAAAGGTCAGCCAGCAACCAATTAACTAGCTCATTTCATTCTTCTTGAAAAACATAAAGCCACAAATTACGTACAGAATGCTTGTTTTATGTTTAAGATATATCGGTGTTGAGCTCATCTTTTCACTCACTAAAAGGAAATTCAGCCTGACAGATTTATTGCATAACAGTACGATGAAAGTCATCCATTTTAAGTGCATATATCCAACAAGTTGCTGAGAATAGAGATAAAATTCATAACATTGCATTATGCAACACTCACTGGGAAAAAAAAATGCTAGCAAACTTTCTGGTTAAAGGGATCCAAATAAACCAGTCCTGACAGGGCAGCTCCACTAGAGTGAACACCACCCCTCTGACCACACTGAGGATCCATGTGGCGTGTGCCATTCACCAGGCAAGAAAGGCAGCCTGCCGAGAGAGACCTGATGAATTATTTAAACCCTTGCTTTTTTTTCTCTCCAAAGTTCTTTTCTTCACTTTCTGATATGCCCATCACATTGGCATAGCCATTTTACTTATTTTTAGTGCTATTTCCACAGAAGATAATTTGGGAGAATAACTTATTTTAAAATAAAGAAGACTATCTTTTTTACCTTTGAGACAGTTTGAAATTGATTTTATCTTTACCTGGTTTTGGAAATAATGTGTTTCAATAGCACTTCCTCCTCAAAAGGGAAAAAAAAAATTTGAAGAGTAATAATGTTAAGAATTGTAGGTTTCATTCCACTCAGTTTTTTTCACCGAGCTACTGCTTGTCCAGTGGAGACACTATAGCTCTCAGCCTTGGTGCATTGATATTGCACACCCTACAGCACCTTTTCTTAATGGGGATTTTTTTAAAAACCACTTTTCTGAGTAAGGATATAAATCTGAGCAAGATATCTTTCTATTTTTGCTAGGAACCCTGTAAACCCAACTGCTGCCTGAAAACTTATGGGAAATAATGCGGGAGGAGAATCTTACTGTCCCAATAATCTCTTCAAAGCCCAATCTGGAACAAAACTCTTAAACAATGGAAAAAAAAA